ATGAGTATGTTCAAGCGCAGACAAAGTTTTGCTGTTCAGTGTGTGTGTTCAAGCACATATGAAGATTTAACTTGCTTTCATTCGTTAACACATTGAAATAATTTCAACTCATTAATAATTGAATCGGTGAGTTTGACAACCGTACAAGTCCAAAATCAGTTTTTCGTAGTTGAGATAAAAATCAGTACAAGTCACGGACATGCATGGTTTTCTCTCATTTTACCGTATTAGATCCTTAGCCGTTAAAATAGTACAGCTGACTCCACCCGTGAAATCTGAAGAAAGCCGTACATGTCCGTACTGTTTTTGATTTCAACAACGACAAACTGATTTTGAACTTGTACGGTTGCCGAACTCAACGATTCAATTAAAAGAAAATGTATGAGAACAGAAAATAAAATTTTGTGAAAAAAGATACAAATTCACAATTTTGTAAGGTTTTCCAAGGATCGTTTCTACCGTGTAAAAAATGAATTAGGTGTATATGTCGCGTGAGACTGAGCGTGTGCATAAAAGTGTACACAGACTGATAGAGGAGGAGGGAAAGAAAAAAGTGATCGCTAGGGACAGAATAGTGAGGTTGTGCTTTTTGTTGGTAGTGATGCCAATATGAACGTCTATAATTTATCACAAACATGAAGTCCCTTGAGGGATTCGTACATTGGATGCTTTTTAACCCTACTTGAAAATATACATATCATCGTTTAAAGTGCAAAGCCGCGTATCAGCAAAATGCAAAACCGCGTATGTGAAGTTGTAGAAATTATTTCCTAGAGCGTAAAAACACTCATATTTCAAAATGGTTCTCTTTTTTATAAGCAATCGCATTTCTGGCTAGTATATTTCAGGACGAATGGATAAGGATTGAGCCAAGAGATTGTGTGAGCAAATCCAATTTTTGGCAGCCAATGTCAGTTACGCGGTTTTGTACTTTAAACGACGATATGTTTGTGTATATTGACGGTCCTCTGCAATAACAACACGACTCAAAATTTCACGTTTTTGAGTTATACAGCGTATTAGGTTGATAAACAACCATATTTTCCTGTGGCAAATCGATATATTTTTAGTTGTTACCACTCCGACAGAGGCGCAGTTGTGCCGTTTGTCACAAAACCGAATTAGGCAACTCCTATTACTGAACAGTGGCACATGTCTCACATTCATCGTGAACTGTTGATGCCTTTATGAGAAATAACGACATTTTTTGTTGTGTGCCGTTGTTCAGTAGCACCAGTGGAGTTCTCTTTGTTGAGCTACTTAGGAGTTCTTAATTATTTCGATACTTTTCGAGAAAAGTCATTATTTGAAAGCTTACAAATTTTCCCTACAGTGTGACTGCTAATAATCCGAAATAATTTCGTTCCAAATACATATTATTGCTAAATTAACTACGAAACACAAAATCTTTAATTGGCTCCAAAGAAAAATATGAAATTTTGCGTTGATTCGATAATTCTAAAGACCATCGATATGTAAATATACCTAGAAACAAATGAATAATATCAATATATTGATAGATAGATAGATAGTTGGGTATGGCACTGCGACCAGTAGGTCTATTGTGCCCCTAGCTCATCACAACACCTCAACCAGACCCAGGGTGTCTATACATTTCCTAATAGACCCCGGGGACAGTGAGTGTAAGTGCTCCTCTTTTGGCCAGACATTCCCTATGCTCCTATACCTCCTGCGTGCAACGGCTTAACACTCCATAACAAGGTGTAGAGGAGTCTCCTTGGCCGCATCGCAAAAGCGACACAGGTCGCTGGACCAGATACCTAGTTTATTCAAGTGCCCTCTGAGCCTACAGTGTCCCGTCAGAAAACTTGTAATAATTCTTAGTTTCTCTTTTGAGAGATCCATGAGTACCCTGTATCTTGCCTGATTGTAGCTTCCTAAATGCTTTTTGCCTGTCGTTGGCCCATAGTGCCACGCCAGTGCAGTTCCCTCAGTTTGCAATTTTCTGCCAGAAATGGCTCAGGTTCTATCGAGGTCGAGGAAGCGGTATTCTGGCCAGTTGATCGGCTTCCTCATTTCCTCCAACTACCATGTGCCCTGGTATCCACATTAGTTGGATATCATTAACCTCCGCCAGAGCATTAAGCCTCTCGACACACTCCAAAACCAAGGAGGACTTGCTCTCGAACGATGAGAGGGCCATAAGTGCTGCCTGACTATCACTTAGTATAAGTATCCTTTCATTCCTATACTTCCTGTGAATGTTAATCTCAGCGCATATACTGATGGCATAGACCTCCGCTTGAAAGATGCTAGGCAAGGTTCCCAGGGGCATAGAAAGCTTCAGCCTGGGGCCGTACACGCCTGCTTTAATCCCCGCAGGTGTTTTAGAGCCGTCAGTGTGCCACTGTATTGTGCTCGCCTGTATGGGACTCTCCATAATAGAGGTACACCAGGTCGCCTTGTTATAAGTGTGGGTCCTGAAATTTCTTTTGAAGACCACCTCCCTGTTTATATCGTCCCTGGGGAACAAAGCTAGAGGGAGCTTGGTACCTAGCTTGTCCCTGTTCCTAGATGATAACACCTTGGCTTTGCCGAAGCCCTATTTCGCAAAGTTATGGAGGGTTCGCTCTGCCGCCTGTTGAATTGAGAGATGCAGTGGCTCGAGTTCCAGTATTACCTCTAGGGCTGCCGTCGGGCATGTGCGCATTGCTCCGGTAATGCATACACATTCCAGGCGTTGAATCTTAGAGAGGGCCTGGCTCACCGTTCCCATAGTAGTCCTGAAATACCAAGCCACCGCACCATAAGTCACTATAGGTCTCACTATCATGGTGTACATCAATCTGAGGATCCTCGGAGTGTACCCCCTGGATTTACCCGCTAGAGGTTTGCACACCATCATCGCTCGTGGCGTTAGAGGTGACCGCATCAACATGGGCCCTCCACAGAAACTTACTTCCCAGTCCCAGATATTCAACCTCTTTGGCGACATTGATTACGACCCCGTCCAAGGTCAAGTTCCTCATCCCCTGGAGCTTTCGTTTCTTGGTGACTATAGCTGTCTTGGAAGGGTTGATATTTAAACCTGCGTCTGCACACCACCTTTTTGCAAGGTTAAGACCTCTTTGGACGATGTCACAGAGAGTACTTGCGAACTTCCCTCTAGCGATAATCACTATGTCGTCCGCGTACCCTTGGTTATCAATATAAAACAATGAACTCTCCATAGACTGTTCCACTAGCTTAAAACTCTACAGAAATTATTTCAAAATAGAAATTAAAATAAAGGCGTTTTATCATATTTTCCTACACAAAAAAATCTTAAGGTGACTTTTTTCAACCATAATTAAATTTTCTGTCATATATGGACTCTTATTTCAGGATAGAAAAATGAAATTCCATGTATAACTGTTAGGAAAAGCTGAAAAATATCTCCCATAAGTCATAAAATAACACATTAAGTTAAATTTAATTGAATACGTTAAAATATAATTTATTTCTTTTGAATTTATGGTAAAAAAGTAAGAAAATTACAATCTGAAGATAATTTTAAAGAAAAGACTCATTACAGTTATAGTTAGGTTTTGCCCTATTTCAAACAATTTCGAAAGTATGTTCAGTGAGACTTAATAAGAAAATCGTATATGGTTATAACTTTTAAGTGGGCGGTAAAAGGCCCATTTTTCAAAATTCCATAATAATGTCATTTCTGTTTAAGGGATTGTTTCGAGTATGAACTTTGAATAAATTAGCGTCCTAAAACTTTCGAAATATCGAAGCTTCACCATTTTGGAAATTTACCTATATACACACATATAAAATGTGGGCGTAATATGTCCGATTTAAAAAATTTTCAGGGCATCACTTTTTTGTGTCAAGGACAATAATTTTATAATTTTACCGAGGATAGAACGATTACCGAGATATGGGTTCATAAGTGAGCGGCTTCATGCACATTTTCCAATTTTTTTTTATAATCGTGTTTCCTTCTAAAGAGTTATTCCCAACATCAATTTTTAATTAACCGGCTTCAGTAGTTACTGATTTCGTATTTCTCTAAATTGCCGTTATGTGGGATGTGGGCGTGGTTATTTTCCGTTCTTAAAAACTTTAAACAATTTTTTTTTGTTTTATCAATACCAACAACTGTGCTAAGTTGGGAGATTTTGGTGAATCGGTTACCGAGATATACAGATGTGATAATAAGTGGCCCATTTTCCACAAATTTATAATATTCTTATTTTCTCCCAAGAGATCATTGAAAATACGCACTAGTTACTTAAATATCGCAGTGTTCGTACTTCTGTAAAATACCGTTAAATGGGGCGTGGTTANTGGCCCATTTTCCACAAATTTATAATATTCTTATTTTCTCCCAAGAGATCGTTGAAAATACGCACTAGTTACTTAAATATCGCAGTGTTCGTACTTCTGTAAAATACCGTTAAATGGGGCGTGGTTCTTGTCCGATTTTGCCCATTTTCAATAGAACCCAATTTTTACTCGAGTTATCGTGTGCACAGGCAGACATACGGACGGGCGAACAGACAGTCACGGCTTAACTGATTTCTCTTTTCATTCTAGTCATTATATATACATTTGTATAAATTTTAATAGGAGTCACTGAAGGTGAAAAACTATTACGGACTAGGGTGATCTAAATTACATAGGATTTTATTGAAATTATTTTAAACAGAGTACAGAATACCCCTTCAAGTGAGAGTTAAGGGGTTAAAATGTTCTACAGGAATATATGTGGAGTGGTTTCATATGGACATATATAATATTTGAAGTAAAGTAAAAATTTTTCTATCAAAATATTGCAACTTTAACCCACTATTAAAAAAATTATGATGAGGTGGAGCTACATTTTCTTGAGGTTTGACTATTACCCATGGATACTAACTTTTAAATTTGGTTTGGTTAAGGCCATAAACAACCACTTTACAATTGTTCCAAAGAGTTATATTAAAATTATATTATTTAATTGAGTATTGTGTGTATCTGTGCTAAATTGATCGAACAATATCCCACAGTTCCAAAACAAGTCTTAAAAGACAGATATGAGTCTGAAGTAGAAGGCGACGAGACTGAGGAATTAGAAGGAGGTAACGAATTGTATGACGATGAAATAAATTACAAAGAATCCGAAGCCATTCCCAAGGTGTATAGTAACAATACGGTAATTTCTGCAAGGACAAATAGCACAACAATTTCTACATCGGCATCCTTGAACCACAATAGCACCAATATCACCTTTCACCATGAAGTTCCAGATTTTGCCAGTATTAATCCTGTAATGACTCATAATACTGATTTAAGCTTGGAAGGTATGTACACATTTCTAATTCTGTAAATATAATTAAAACATACACTTCTAGTTAGCTGATTAAATCAAGTAACATTTTTACCAATTTTGGCTATTTTTCTTTTGTTTATTTAATGTTTCTATTTTTTTTTATAAAAGTTTAGCACTTTACCTAACCCGCGTCACATAAATCCACATTTCTAACTTCGTACACAAATTTTAAACTTTTTATTTAGAATTTCTAAAAAAATTTTCTGTATGCATCCTTATAGCTCATTAAATTTTAGTAGGTTAAAATGCAAATTTCAAGACGCTAGAAAATCGCTTTGATGTTTATTACTTTTTTTTTGCTGATGGTGCTAGGCATTTCCTTCCATACAAACGGAATTCTCGAGCATATTTTATATGGAATAAAAATGCCCAACAAAGTCAGCAAAAAAAAAAATATTAAAAATGAACGCTATTTTCTAGCCTCTTGAAATTTGCACTTTAACCTACTAAAATTTAATAAGCTACAAAACTGCATATCAAAAATTTCTCTAAACATTTATAATAACTAGTAATTTTTAGAAAAAAAAAAACCGACTTCAACTCCCATATAAAAAAAATATATATATATATATATCTCATGATCCGCTGATCGGATCTTAACCAGATTAGTATGGGACCACCTCTGAGACACTACCTTTCCGATGCAAAAAGAATTATCGTAGTCCAAAGTTATGCGGTAACATCCATAAAAAAAAAAAAAAAAATATTCCGACGAACTGATAACCTCCTCCTTTTTTGGAAGTCGGTTAAAAAGTTAAAAATTGTCGGGTGCAAATGTTAAAGCTTGTTGAATTTTCATAATTTTTGTAGTTTGAAATGTGTATTTATGTGGCGCTGGATAGGTTAAGTGCTAGGTTTTATAAAAAAATATATACACTAAATAACCAAAGGAAAAATAGCCAAAACTAGACAAAATGTCACTTGACTTAATCAGCTGACCACAAGTGTACATATGACTCTCGTACCAAGCTGATTAAATGCAGGTACTTTATGATCCATAGTTTAGCAAGTGAGCAATATGTATGTAGGAATGGCCTTCCCGTTTCATCCTCTTCGTATACAAAAACGCGGTTATTTAGTTAAATAGTTTAATATTTCATGCAGTTCATTTAACATTTCACATATAATATTATTTAACATTTTACATGTAATATAATTTAACACTTAACACTAGCAGAACATTGGTCTGCGCCTGATGGCGGCTGACAATGCAATGTCCAGTCTGTTCTGTTCGTATCGGTCTCTTCTCTATCGCCCTTCGTTAAATAGTTCGATCAATTATATTCAGAGATGGGCATTACCACAAACAAGCGTGAGCTAAAAGTGAGAATGTATTAGTGTGTCTAATTCATTTCGCATGGTCGCGTTCTCATCGTTACGCTCTCGTTTGTGTACGTACACGCGATACTTACGCTCTTTTAGCACCTGCTAAGTCTCTGCCCATACCTGATTATATTCCTCTATTGGTTATGTAGGGCCAATTAGTCCTAGCATGGTAAGTACTTTCCGTAAACTAATTCCACATTCGGCCATCCTGCATTTCATTCGGCCTCGAATGAAAAACCCTACTTCTATTTTAATTTTGCATATTTTGTGAACTTCTCTATTTTAGCCCTTCTCACTCTTGTTCATCATTTGCTTAATCTTGCATCTTGTCAACTGCATCCAGTCTCTACTATAGCTCAAGAGAACCAGCTTCTACTTTTAGTGCCTCCTCTATGTCTACCATCAGACATAAAACTCCAACTATAGCTCCCTCGTAGCAACAGAATGCACGCTCACATTATCGATGTTCACCTATGCCATAGTCCGGAACATCTCACCGTGCCTACGCAGTCTACCAGTTATACCGGACGCACGCTCACGTCCTCGATGTACACTATCGCTAACGCCTTCCGCACCTCGATGTGCTCACACGATCCTATCGACGTCTTATCACTCTCTAGAGTTCTCGCACGACCTTGCGCCTTACTTCGAATCCACAGATTCCTCAACGTGCTCGACAGCACCAACTTACGAGAATATTTCCCCGGCCCCCCAGCCGCAACCCATTCCTTTCCGTGCCTTACCGCACCAACCTACGAGCTTTTATCCCCAGCCCTCCAGTCGCAACCTATCGCAGCTCAACTGATAATCAACCTCCTATGTTTATAGACGCTGGTGGCGAATACCTAGCTAGTACCGTTCAAATCTTTACATATTTTCGAACAATGATACTGTTTCATTTCACCTCTCATAAAAACAGACGATCAACATTTTTTCGCACCTATAGTAACGTGTTAGCTTATTTCACTATCTTTTACTTTAAGAAAAGTCCACTTTGCATAAAATAATTCTCAACTCAAAGTCAACTTACTGGCGAAATTATGTTTAATGAAATTAGTTAAATCTCCCTCAATTCAACACTAAACATTTGAATTGACCTCTAAAGGCATCCTTCGTCTGAAACTTTATATCACTGCAACTCACAAAGTCTAATCAGTCACGGTTAAACTAAAATTCTCACGGTCCACTTTTTAAAATGCAGTGCCATATACACTCTTAAGTTAAGTTAGGTTGATGTGGCAGTCGGTTCAAGTTACCAACTCACTTAGACTTTTTGAAGGTCCATTGTGATACCACTGCAGCACACAGGAACCTCGGTGACTATTCTTCAGAGAACCAATTTGAGGCTCTAATAAATCAGTTTTATTCCTACGCGTGATAATTCCGTAAGAGAGCTAAAGAAGGGCCTGCCTAAAAAGCCTGCTCTCCTCTTGGCCAAAGCTGGGCAACTTCAGAAGATGTGCTCTACGGTTTCTCCCTCTTCCTATTCCAACCCTATTGTCTAGCTTGGATCCATCTGTATAAAAATTCAATTCTCCCCGTCTCCATGGCCTTGGTGTTTCCCATTCCTTTCTTGACGGGATGCTCGTCTTAAAGAGCCTATCGAAGATTGGTTTGGGAGCGGAGTAGTCAACTTCATGGTTGTAATTACCCAGAGTATGAAGCGTGACCAAACCGCCGATCCGTCCATAGCACCACCATACTTTTTAGTCTGAGCGCTGAATCGGCGGCCGCATATTTTCCCACCAGGTTTATTTTGGGCAAATTGGTTATCACCTCCAGCGCCTTATTTGGGGTGGTCCTTAACGCACCCGAAATGCATAGAAACGCTGTTCTTTGGACCTTACTCAATAGTTTTAGGTAACTTGCCTTTTGAGTTACTGGCCACCATACAAATATTCCATATAAGAGTATTGGTCTGACCACCGAGCAGTGTTGCCAGAACTTTTTGGGCCGACCGGCTAGATTGGCAAAAAAAAGCGGCTAAAATGTTTTTGTGAAATTTCACATTGACTCTGGCAAAAAACGGCTAAAATGTTTTAGTGAAAATTCACATGCTTTATTTAAATAAATCGCAAGAAACGAACGACTAGTTAACACCATTAATTTATATCGAGTGTATTCCTCATCATCAAATGAATCACTATTGTATATATCACCTGAATTCATTAATTTTAAGAGATCGTCATCTACAGTAAAATTATGGCAGCATTTTTCTTCACGTTTTAAACCGTATCTTATATATAAAATAGCGTTTAACGTTTTAACGCACATTGGATTTCTTTGCTTAGTTTTTATTATATTCATTGAACTAAATATTCGCTCTACTTCTGCATTACTTATAGGCAAAACAAGAAAACTAAAAACTAGGTTGGAAAGGTCAGCAAAAGGGTTTTCTCCTAGGGCATTTCGAAATTGATAAACTTCCGCCCAAAATTGGTGGCACCGAGGTGTACAGCCAATGGGTAATACGAAGTGCTGACCCCCACTTGATTCCGACTACTTGTTTGCAAGTGTGTAATGCAACGTTCTCCTTCCTTCCTCTTTCCTCTACATTAGGTTTCCACTTGAGCTTCCTGTCTAATATGAATCCTAGATACTTAACATTCCCCTTCAAGGATATCTCCACACCCATCAAGATTAGCGGGGAGACTATGGGATGCCTGTGTTTCCTTGTAAAGAGAATTTCTGCGGTTTTTTCGGGGTTTATACCGAGTCCCCTACTCTCCGTCCAGTTTCTAAGCGTGGCCATGTTAGAGCGCAGAATCTCCATTAGGGTATTTGGGTATTTGCCTTTAACGGCAATTGCCAGGTCATCAGCATGTGCTACGCTACATTCTGGTCAACTCCAAGCTCTTCTAAGGTACCCGTTATGGCGCTTGCGTTAATATTGTTGAAGGCGCCTTCTATATCTACAAAGGCAACCAGAGCATACTCTTTATCTACTTGTTCGTATCACGCCCCGTACATAATCATCTACTATCCTCCCTAAAATTTTGAGAAGGAAAGACGTAAGACTGATGGATCTGAAGTAAGTCCTTAGTGTTGGCATGAGAGGACCTGCCCGCCTCGGATATGAAGGAGACTTTTGTCTCTCTCCAGTATAGCGGGATGTAGCCCATGTGAAGGCAGCTTCATACAATAATTGCAATGAACGGAGAGATAATGCCCCGTGATTGCTGCAGCTCTGCCGGGTGTATACCATCAAGTCCCGGTGACTAGTAAGGACCAAAAGTCTTAATAGCCCATTCGATTTTTTGGTTTTATTCAGTCGGTTTCCCAGATCAGATAGCCCCCCTTCATTCGTGGGGTCACTAGTTTCCACCGGCTTCTTTCCAGGGAAGTATGTGTCAAGGAGGAGACATAAAGATTCCTCGCTCGTCGTAGTCCACGAGGTTCCTTGACCCTTGAGATAGCCGAAGTTGCATAGCGACTTTGCGAGAATTCTTCTTAATCTGGCCGCTTCTGTGGTTTCCTCAATTCCCATGCAGTAACTTTGCCATGATTTACGTTTCGCAGTTCTAACTGCCTTTTTGTATATTTTCAGATCAGCCTTATAGGCTTTTCAGTCCTCTGTTCCTCTCGTGGCTATGGCCTTGTTGAACATTGTCCTATTGGATTCACGTAACGAGGATAGTTGTTTCG